AAGCATTGTATGCACATATGAATATTTTAAAAAATTCCAGTGTGTATAAAACCACTTTTCTTAATCCATTTTGTCAGTAGTGGGGCATCTTGGCTGTTTCCATAACTTGGCTATTGTGAATAGTGCTGCAATAAACACAGGTGTGCAGGTGCCTCTGAAGTAATCTGAGTCACATTGCTTTGGGTATATCCCCAGGAATGGGATTGCTGGATCATATGGAAGATCTGTGTTTAGTTTTTTAAGAAGCCTCCATATTGTTTTCCAGAGTGGTTGTACTAGTTTGCATTCCTGCCAGCAGTGAACAAGGGTTCGTTTTTCCCCACATCCTCACCAACATTTGTAGGTGGTGGTGTTTTTGACGATAGTCATTCTAACAGGGGTGAGGTGGAATCCTAGTGTGGTTTTGATTTGCATTTCCTTTATGGCCAGGGATGGTGAGCATTTTTTCATGTGTTTTTTGGCCATTTGGATTTCTTCTTTTGAAAAAGTTCTGTTTAGTTCAGTTGCCCATTTGTCCTCTATTCTGTTCCACTGGTTTTCATGTCTACTTTTGTGCTAGTACCATGCTGCTTTCATTGCTATGGCTTTGTAATATAGTTTGAAGTCAGGTATTGTGATACCTACAACATTGCTCTCTTTGCTGAGTATTGGCTTGGCCGTTCATGGTCTCTTGTATTTCCCAATGAACTTTAGGGTAGATTTTTCAATCTCTGTGGTGAATGTCATTGGGATTTTTGATGGGAATTACATTGAACATGTAGATTGTTTTTGATAGTGTAGCCATTTTTACTATGTTGATTCTACCAATCCATGAGCATGGAAGATCTTTCCATCTTCTGTAGTCTTCCTTGATCTCTTTCTTCAGGGATTTGTAGTTCTCCTTGTTGAGGTCATTCACATCCTTTGTTACATTTGCTCCTAGGTATTTGATTTTTTTTGAGGCTATTGTAAATAGAATTGTTTTCATATATTGTTTCTCAACTTGTTCATTGTTGGTGTATAGAAAAGCTAATGATTTTTGTAAGTTGATTTTGTATCCTGCCACCTTGCTGAAGCTGTTTATGGTGTCTAGGAGTTTTTGGGTAGAGTTTTTTGGGTCTTTGAGGTATAGGATCATGTCATCTGCAAATAGGAATATTTTCAGTTTCTTTACCTATTTGTATGCCTTTTATTTCTTCTTCTTGCCTAATTTGCTTCTGGCTTAGGAATTTCCAGTACTATGTGAATAGGAGTGGGGACAGTAGGCACCTTGCTCCATTCTTGATTTTAGGAGAAATG